GAAAGTGATCAAATTGCACTTAAAAGTAGGAGGGGTTTAAATAATGGGTCCAAAGATAATAGTGACAAAGGGGTTGATTTACTAAAACTGAAGTGTGCAAAATCTGGTGCAGTTCTGCATGATAGCCAATCAGCTTCTATGTTCAGCTTGTTCAATTAAGCATTGACAAAAAAAGATGACTGTTTTTTATGCACAGCTGCACCGGATTTACCACTCTCCAGTTTTAGTAAATGAACCCCAATACACAAGCAACAAACAGGCAATTGTGATAATGTGAGAGTAACAAATGGCAGTGGTGGCAATATACGGCAATGATAGTGGCAGTAGTGACAATAAAAAAGGCATGCTCTATACTCCACTCTTACTGCCTCCTCTCCATTGTGGAGCTGCTAGTTCCAGTACAGATTCTGGGATATGTAGTTCTCCATTAAAACTACATGTCCGAGGTAACTGGTATGAAATTTTGGCATTGGCGGGTCAATTTTGGCAAGTTCCCAGAGAGAATATGAGAATAAAACAGTTGTATTTATGCTTTAGTTTTGATCTTGGATGATGTAATAAACATTAACAGCTATGAAATATAGTTTCTACTTTTACTATCGTAATTCAGATACCCTTTAATACCCCATGGCATGCTGAGGCTGTGTCAGATTAGTTAGACTGATAAGGAGATTCAGAAGAAGCTAATGTTCATTGATGGGAGGATTTCAAAACAGCGCTTTACAGAATGAAATAAAACCTGAACTCCTGTCACTGTCACAGCCAAAATTTATATGACTTACCAAGGTAGGAAATTCTAATTTTATAGCAATGTTCTTTTTTTTTCTGCAATCATCAATTTGATAAATCCATTGAAAGAAATCAAAGCAAGAAAATATTATTTAATCTCTTTTTATCATTAGTAAATTGTATGCCACATCAGGCTGCTAATGGTAAGATAATGACCTCGGGGAATAGGCTTGCGTTCCTTTGGTATTGTCACTTGTCATTTTTTTAACAATAACAGCCATTTACTTTAGGTGCTACTGCATAATTAAATAGAATATTTATCCATTCATTATCTATCATTATTTAAGAAGATGTGTGACACTCTTTATCCTTGACCATACTTAATAAGCTCTGTTTATGCTGGGTGGTTTTTCATCTTATCTTTATGTGTTTTATTAATGGAAGCACAGAAAAAACAAATATTGTAAATCAAACAAAAGAGATAAAATGTAATTTTATTCAAAGTGCTTATCAACCTAAATGAACATTTATTGCTATCTTATCTGACACCAGGGATGTATCTATCACTTCTTGCAGAAGTGTACCTTGAGAATTGCAGACTCAGATTACAACTCTAGTCTTATAACTTGATCATGGTATGTCCATGCTTCCAAAATTAATTAATTATGTTACCATATATCTACCTATGTATATAGGGAAATCAGTGTATGACATCATGGTAATTACTTTGTTACACTGGGGTTGCCGTATAGGATTCATCCATTTTCCAAAGCCTAAAAACAGCTTCTCATCCTGAGTTTGAGATGGTTAATTACTTTCGCTTACCAGTAAGAAATATTAGCTTGTATATAGTCCATTGAAAACATACATTTACAAAAAAAAAGCTAAAACCGCAGCATATTGGTGGTGTTGCACCTTTTAGTTCAGATTCACAGACCACATACCTTTATTATTCTTATTTAGGGCTGGTTTACTCCTGAATTGCACAGGAATGCAGTTCACATTCCTGTGCCATTCTTGAGGAATTTATTGTAGTGTGATTTTGCAGCCCATTCATTTGAATACACTGCTGGGTTACCATGCAACCTGGTGTGCATGGCGTTTGTGATTTGTGTTTGAGATGCCATTACAAAGTATTGGCACTACAGCAGATTGGAAAGACAGTGCGTTTTGAATGCAGTGTCGGAAATGCGCACAGAATGTGCCTTTCTGGAACCATTTCTGGTGCACACTGGCCATTAACCTCCCTAGCGGTCTGATTATGTCCATATTTCTGTGCTCAAAGCAGTAAATTTTTTTGCATGGAAATATGTATTTTTTTTATTGTAGGCCTGTAATTTTTAGGAATAACTCACTGAAATCTGTCCGAACAAGAGTCTAGTAAACATTCCGGGTATGATAAAATTTGAAACACGAAATCATAAATTATAATTTATAATAAATAATCATAAAAAATAATAATATAATATTAATAAAATTTTAATTCAATAATATAATCAAACCAAAAACACTGAAATTTGAAATATAGCGCCAAGTTCGCACATCACTGAGCAAAGTCGCAAAATCGTTTTCAGTGTCTGATGACGAATTTCCCCACGAATCATTATCACTCAATTCTGCAAGTAGTTCTGATTTACTATCGCTGTTCTCTAGCTGGTCTAAAACCGGTTTTGACCTAAAGGGACGCTTTTTGGACACCATGAAAGTTTCTCAGTTTCCAGGCAGAAATAACGGTACAAATGCAGGCAGGGCACAGGACAAAGCACTCGGGACAAAATGTATGTGAAATGGTTTGATACCGTAATGTTTTACTATGTGATTTTAGTGATTTTAGTGAATGTCACTTTTTGTCATTTTCAAATTTCCCGCCGTTCCGCCACCCGTACGTCCCGACGCTTGCAGGGGACGGAACCCAGATGACAGATGCTGGCATCCGCCGGATTACATTGCCGGGGACACTGCAGGAGGGACATCGCGGGAGCGCAGGACAAGGTAAGTGGAGAACAGATGCCGGAGCAGTGCCGCATGGTATTCCCGAGTGTAGCTCGGGGTTACCGCTTTTGGTACTGAAACTTTACTGGAACTTTAGTCAGAATATTAAGTCCTGATGGATCACTTCAGGCTGGCCCCTTTTGCAGGTATAGCTATGTAAAACACAAAAAATAAGTGCCTATACTATTTAAATTCTAGTACTACATTGTCTCACCCTGCTCTGCACATGCTTAGTTGCTGCAGACAGCCTAAAGATTTACTGTTGCTCGAGGGCTCTGGGCTTTAACAAAATGGCATCCTCTAGCAAGAAGTAACAGAGGCAATGCTGGAGGCAATTTACAGCACACACTAATTTTGGCAGAATAATTATTAATGTGGAATGTATGTTCCTTGCTAAAGAAGATTATTTTTGATCATATTTTTTTATAGGTAAAGTTGTGCTTTAACGCAGAACTAAACCTACCTATTCTTTACTTTAGAGCAAGCTGCCGTCTCAGTTTCTATTTGATCTGCAGTTGCCATGGTGCTGCACATGTGATTAGTTATGACACCATTTTTTTATGGCTTTGCAGTTTGGTTGACAGCACAAGCAACTGCAACAGTTATCATTCATGGCATGCCTTGTAGCTGTTTTGGGAAACAGTTAAATCAGTGAATTCTACTTTAAATCAGAATGCAAGAACAGAACCATCACCATTTAGAAATCATAAAAAATGAGTGCCAAATATGACTTAAAATACAACTAAAGGGGAAGATATTTCCTTGACTACTCCCAACTCACTCATGTCTTTATGGTCATACTTACAACTCTGACACTTTCTGAATTAATCCAATTTCAAAGCAGCCTATTTCTGTCCCTTGACCTCCTTCAAAAAATGATGTTCCTCTACTGTACCACAAAAGCATTTAATATCGACCATTTATTCATTACTCTCCGACTTGATTTAAACCACTTTCTACCCATCATTAACATCTGGGACTCCAACCACTCAAACCTCCTCTCTTATTAGGATTAGGAAAATATCTGTGTGACAGTTCACAGGGGATCCCTAAATGTATCGACCTAGGAACATAACTATAAGGTCCTCACACATTGGTACACACATTTTTCTCCACAAAATCTTTCTCCAGGTACCGAACACATGCTGGCATTGTGGTAAAATGGTTGGTACAATTGTCCCACCTTTGGTGGGATTGCCCCATGAATAGCTCTTTTTGGTCACAAGTACATGAAATAATCACAACAGTATCTTCCTACCGCATATCTTTTTCTTCTTTTCAATACTTGATTCATCACTCCACCAACATGGGACATACGTATCATAAGTCACTCGCAGGGGCGGAATGACAACTCATGGGGCCCCTGGGCAATAGGGGATCATAGGGCCCCTGTGTCCTTGCCCAAACTCCAAAAACTCTATGAAAAAGGTACCAGGGGCATCTCATGTGGCCCCCTACTGACCGAGTTTCCAAATGGTCAGTCTACCCCTGGTCACTCGTCATGCACATGATCAATTCTTTCCACCTGTGCATCCCAGTGTTCTGGAAACAAACACGATCTCCCTCCTTGAGAGACTGGTTTATCAGACTTAACAACATGGCAGAGATGGAGGAGCTAATTGCCACGACTTTGGACAGATTAGACAATTACTTAAAAACATGGCTATGCTGGATTTACTTCCAATCCACTGGAGAATACCATAAGGTAATGAATCCACAGAGATATCTTGCCTCATCTCTGGACCTGCAGTTTGGACTTGCATTATCCATCTTATATTGCAAATGCTAATCAAATTCACACTGATTACCTCTTTATTTCTCTACCCCCCCCCCTTTTTTTCTCTCTCAGGAAGCCATCTGTACTTATATCCTAGATCCTCTTTTATCGTACCACCTAACTCATTCCATCTCCCCCACCCTCCCTTCTTTCTAGCCAACTTTTTCCCTTTTTCTTCTTTGATTATTATGTTTTGAAAGCCATATTGATAAATCACAATGGTGACACTCTAGTTTTCATGAGTTTATTTGAATTCTCAAAACAACGTTTCCAATGATCATGTAAATATATGCCAGACTCTTACTAACAGTTATTGTGATATAGATTGCTTTCATTTGGCTCATATCTATTTCTTTTAAGATTTTGAGGCATAAGACAACATTTAAAACAAAAATGTTCTACACGTACACTGGCCTAAAATAGCTGAAGATATACTGCAATTTCTCTATCTATGTTGGACTGCTTGTATTTCAGTTTGCACCGCATATTGAATGTTTTTATGACTGTATGTTACGAATTCTTCAATAAAAGGTTTATGGAAAAAAAAATACAACTGAAGGCAAAACTTTTTTTTTTTTTTCAGTTTCGGATTGATTGCAGAGGAATTAGAACACCTGTCAGTTGATATTGCTGTCAGTGCCTCTGTATGGGAAAAAAAATGTCAGGTTCCCAGGGCAGGATTTCTCATAGGGCAAACTGTGGTTTTCCTCCATTAGGCGTGGTTCACACTTATGCAGTTTGCTTTTGACCCATTTCTGCAGTGCTTTTTGCAGTGCATTTTTGCACTCGTGTTTTTGATGCATTTTCACACATTTGTTATACTTTTTTTAACCAATTTTTGGGCAGATTAAAAACCGCATAATGCTATTATTGTGAGTTTTAAAAAGTCCCTGACCCTTTCCAAAAATGCAGCAACTGAAAAAAGCATAGATGTGAATATTTCCCATAGGAAGCGATATTAAATGGACTGTAGTGTGTTTCTGCTTGAGATAAGTAAAAGTGGGCGCTAGTTAGTGCCTGCTTTCACTTATCTCATGTGTATTTTACACTTAAAGGGGGAGCTGCCTATATTCAGATTTATTTTATTTCACAAAAATATATTTTTTTAAATATATTTTTAGTATATATTTTGAGTGTTTTTTTTTTTGGTTTGGAGATGGTGCTTTTCCACTTTTAGCTGTAGTGCATTTCTGCAAAAAGCACTAAAAACCCATAGTTATGAACCAGGCCTTACACTGTAGGATTGCTTAGGAAGAAGTGTTTGCAACCAAGACTGAGGGGTAAGGTAATTGATGTACAATGCATTAATTAAATTTCATTTTTCGCTGGAGTTGGGCATAAAAGAGGTGTAGAAAAATAATGGGAGGTGTAAGATGGTGAAGTCTTCGAATCTTTAAAGTGTCACCGGTCTGTGTGTAACAAGCATTTCCTACACCCGTTTACCATCCATCAGTAATCAATGTATCGACTAATTGATTATCTTAACCAATATGTTAACTAATATGTTAGTCAATTGCATTGCTTGCAAATATCAGGCCTTATAGTACTGTAGCCCTGTAAGACCACCATAGTCAGTAAATACAGGATGCTTTCCACAATGACCTTAATAACTTTGCATATTTTACACACACACACACTGTATATACTCATATACTCAGTATACTGTATGTATACAGTGTATGATAGATATTGTATTACTTCAACAATATTCAAGAATCTATCACAATGGTAATATAATACAATATAATATAATATCTATCTTACATACTGAGAAGTGAAATATTACTCATTTTTATACTCTAGTACGGGTGTCGGCAACCCGCGGCTCTGCGGCTTTTTTCATCTTTGCTGCGGCTCCGGAGCACACTGCCCACCAGGTGACAGGCAATAGGGTTTCAGTGGTCGGCAAGCCGCGGATCGCAAGCCACATGCGGCTCTTCTGTGTGCCGGGCGCCCGCTCCCCCCCTCCCTCCTCTCGGGCGGCCGCCTCAAAAGTCAGGACTCTTTTAATCCGGCCCACGGAGCGTGGAACATTAGCTGTCAGGATGTAGGCGGGGCAGCCAGGATGTAGGCGGGGCAGCGTGACAAACTCCTCTCACAGTCCGCCCTGAAGACCGGAACATAGCGCGGGAACACAGCGAGAGGAACGCGCGGAGCAAAGGTAAGTGAATTGAGACAATATGGGGAATTAATTACTATAGGGGGGATGAATTACTACTATGGGGGATGAATTATTATATGGAGGATTAATTACTATGGGGGATGAATTACTATGGAGGATGAATTACTATATGGGGGATGAATTACTATGGGGGATGAATTACTATGGAGGATGAATTACTATATGGGGGATGAATTACTATGGAGGATGAATTACTATATGGAGGATGAATTACTATATGGGGGATGAATTACTATGGAGGATGAATTACTATATGGGGGATGAATTACTATGGAGGATGAATTACTATATGGAGGATGAATTACTATATGGGGGATGAATTACTATGGAGGATGAATTACTATAGGGGGGATGAATTACTATGGGGGATGAATTACTATATGGGGGATGAATTACTATGGGGGATGTATTACTATATGGGGGATGAATTACTATGTGGGGGATGAATTACTATATGGGGGATGAATTACTATAGGGGGATGAATTACTATATGGGGGATGAATTACTATATGGGGATGAATTACTTTGGGGGATGTATTACTATATGGGGGATGAATTACTATGTGGGGGATGAATTACTATATGGGGGATGAATTACTATAGGGGGGATGAATTACTATATGGGGGATGAATTACTATGGGGAATGAATTACTATATGGGGGATGAATTACTATGGGGGATGAATTACTATATGGGGGATGAATTACTATATGGGGGATGAATTACTATATGGGGGATGAAGCTAACTGCACGATCCTGTATATAGCATTAAGGTAAGAAACAATATATGCAGTGTCGGATTTGTTTTAAATGTTGCAATGGTTTTGCGGCTCCCAGTCTTTTTTTTTTCCCTTCGGAAACGGGTCCAAGTGGCTCTTTATGTCTTAAAAGTTACAGACCCCTGCTCTAGTAGAAGGTATAGAGTTTTAGATAGCAAAGCAGACAGCGTCTTGCACTTTATTTTCTTTGCTTTTGGAGAAAAGCAATTAATTGGGTTTAGTCCATTTGCTGCTGTTTTTCTGTGTAGCGAGAGCAGGTGGATAGTATATTATTCTAGATTTCCAAGGCAGTTTTGCAATCTGTCTGTCTTCTCAGATATCAACAAGCAGCAGAAACCACTGCCGCTTTCACTTCCGATTGTGTGACTTTTGTGTACAGGGACAATGAGAGGGTTGTGCTCTTTTCTGAGGGTCAAGTGAAAGTGAGCTAGGACACAGACCACCGTGCTAAACAATTTAAAGAGACCTTGTCACTAACTTTCAAAGTTACAGTCAAAAGCACAGAAAAATCAAGTATTTTAATGATTTTCTTAAAAAAATTTTACTCACCTAAAATATACCTGGGAATTTTACAGCTTCGGGAGGAGTTGATCTCCTAGCACAGTCACGGTTCTCCTGCATGTCGTAGCCTTCTCCTTTACATGGTATTTCTAATTACTGTTTTCTCTTCTCTGTCCCTACCCTCACCTTTTATGCAGCAGTTGGGGGAGGAGAGATGGGGAAAACCATACAGTCCTGTTGCCCAAGCTGTAGCCTGGGAGCCACATGCAGTCCTTTGGCACTTTATGTGCAGCTCTCTTGGACCCTGCAGACACTAATCTGTGTTTCCCTATTGCCCTGTTATATCAGCGATTTCAAGCAGGCTGATGTTTTATGTCTGCAGTCTTTGACTGTCTCTTGAAGCATAACCCCAGTCTCCAACAACTCTTACAGCATATCCACAGTCCCTGACCATCTCTTGTCTGCAGTCTCTGACTATGTCCTGTACCATGTTTGCAGTCTCTGACCATCTCTTATGTCATGCCTGCAGTCTCTGACCATATCCTGTACCATGTCTGCAGTCTCTGACCGTCTCCTGTATCATGTCTGTAGTATCTGACCATTTCTTGTATCATGTCTGCAGTCCCTTATCATTACTTGTATCATGTTGGCAGTCTCTAACCATTTATAGTGTCATGTCCACAGTCTATGACCATCTGCTGTATCATGCCTGCAGTCTCTAACCATTTCTTATATCATGTCCACAGTCTTTGATCCTCTCCTTTACCATGTCCATCTCTGACCATCTCTTATATTGTGTCCACAGTCAATGACCAACTCTTGAAACAAAGGAAGAAACACAGTGCCTCTAAGTGTAGACTGTGATGCAAGTTTAATGGTTAAAAAGTAAATAGGCAACTCACATGTTCATGATAAATTACAGGCTCATCATTAACATGGATGCTCAGTCCACTTCAGTGCCAAGATGGTAAGCCACTGTGAAATATAGGACAGTAGGATGGTGGGGAGAGGTCAGGGTGGAGTAGACCACCGGGATGTACCGGGAGGCATAAAACAGTAATTGAATTAATAAATAAGTATATATATATATATATATATATATATATATATATATATATATATATATATATATATATATATAATATAAAACATCCAGAAGTGACAAAAGCGGCATACACTAGTAACAATGTATGGTAAAGTATATCATCATGGGAATTCATATAAAATAACATATGCAATGGGGTGGCTGATATCATGAACATGATAGATATATATGGTAATGATAAAAAGAGGAAACTAAATAATGATATGTCATGTATTAGGTGTCCTGTAAGAATGCTGTAAATGAGGAAATTAACATTATAAAGAATAGAAAGGATGAAAAAAATGCAAATTAAAATGTGCACACACACACACAATTATCTGTGTATGCGTTCGTGTATATGCCAAAACAAGAAAAAGATTATATTATAAAAAATATTTTAGGAGGGTTTATGAAGCAATGCATTGTTGATTATGTAAAGGGTAAACACAGTAACAATATGAGACAGAAATAAGGAAAAAGGGGAGAAATCTGGCATATACATGTGTGGAAACCAATATGCATGTGAAATTAAACTAGCATTAATACAGGATGTACAATGGGGTACTTACTAAAAAACTGACCACTCACTAAATTTAAAGGATATATGTTGATATGTATTGCCTAAAGATGGTGGCAGTAATGGAGAAAACAAGGATAAAATAACTGTTATAGTGTGGTCACTATTTCCAGTTCCTCATTAAGGCCAGCTGGAAACAGAATGTCTAAGGCATGGATCCAGAAGGTTTCCCTCCGACAGAGCTTGTGGAAGCACTCTGCCTCAGGGAGATCAGGAGGCATAGCCTTAATAACCCAAACCAGAAGTCCAGTGGTGGATTTTTTATGGGCCTCTAAAAAATGTCTGGGAAATGTTAATCTTTCTCTCCTTCGATGAGGTGATGGTGCTCCCCAAATCTGGTGTGAAGGATCCTAATGGTGCGACCCACATATAGAAGACCACATGGGCATGTGAGGCAATAGACTACAAAACTGGATGAACAATTATAA